TGTGCCGGCGCCACACGCCCCGCAACCTGGTCACCCTGGCCACCAGCTCGCGGGACGGAACGCTGGTGCCATAGTCGTCGCGCCGAGCACGCACGACGCCCTTGACCCGGTCCTCCCCTGCGCCGCGCTCGTCGGTGAGCAGCATACCGGCACCGCGGCCGTCGCGGAGTCGGCGCGCATTATCCGGCAGATCTCGTATCCGCTGAGTCCCGGCAGCATGAGATCGAGCATGCCGACGAGGTCGGGAAGCTGGCGTCTGACCGCGTCCAGGCCGTCGGGACCCGTCGCAAACCGGTCACACGTGAAACCGGCCCGCGTCAGATGGTGCGCGACGAGTTCGGCGATATCCTGATCGTCCTCCACGACGAGGATGCGGCTGGACATGTCTTGGCTGCTGGCCCTCACTCCGTGGCACCGCCATCGAGGCCGTGATGCCGCACGTCGCGGCCCGACACGATGAAGATGGCTTCCTCGGCAATGTTGGTGGCGTGGTCGCCGACCCGTTCGAGATGACGGGACGTCAGAATCAGATCGAGCGCCGACTCGGTGAGGCGGGAATTCGCCAGCATGAAGCTGAGCAACTCTCGAAACACCTGGTCCTTCAGGCGGTCGAGCGCATCGTCGCGCTCGAGTACCTCTTGCGCCAGCGCGACGTCCTGCGTCACGAACGCGTTCAACGAGTCTCGCAACATCTTCTGCGCGATGTCGCCCATGCGGGGAATGTCGATGAGCGGCTTGACCGCTGGCTGATCCAGGTAGCGCAGCGTCGCCTCGGCGATATTGACGGCGAAGTCGCCGACCCGTTCGAGTTCGCTGTTGATCTTCACACTCGAGACGACCATGCGCAGGTCGGTGGCCACCGGCTGGTACAACGCCAGCAACCGAAAGCAGCGCTCGTCGATCTCGATTTGCAGCCGGTTGATCGGGTCGTCTCCGTTCAGCACCTGCTGCGCCAGATCGTGGTCACGGTCGACCAGCGACTGCACCACACGGCGGACCTGTTCCTCGACGGCGCCGGCCATCACCAGCAGGCGCCGTTTCAGGTGCTCCAGCTCTTCCTCGAAGTGCCGGGTCACACGCGGTGTCTGTGGCGTCACCATCCCCTCCGAGCCACCCGCCACTACCCGAACCGCCCGGTGACGTAGCCTTCGGTCAGCTTCTCGGTCGGTGCGGTGAACAATCGGCTGGTCCGATTGCACTCGACCAGCTTTCCCAGCCAGAAGAACGCCGTCCAATCGGATACACGCGCCGCCTGCTGCAGGTTGTGCGTCACGATGACGATCGTGTAGTCGCGCTTGAGCTGATACACCAACTCTTCGATCCGCTGAGTGGCGATCGGGTCGAGCGCCGACGCCGGCTCGTCCATCAGCAGCACCTCCGGCTGCACCGCCAGCGCGCGCGCGATGCACAGCCGCTGCTGCTGTCCTCCCGACAGCGTCAGCGCCGAGTCTCGCAACCGATCACGCACTTCCTCCCACAACGCCGCCGCCTTCAAGCTGGACTCCACCCGGTCTTCGAGCTCGACGCGCGACCGGGTGAGGCCGTTCACGCGCAGGCCGTAGGCGACGTTCTCGAACACCGACTTGGGAAATGGATTCGACTGCTGGAACACCATCCCGACGCGCCGCCGCAACTCCACCGGATCGGTCTCCGGGGCGAAGATGTCCTGACCGTCGATGGAGACGGTCCCGCTGACCCGCACGCCGGGCACGATGTCGTTCATCCGGTTCAGCGTCCGCAGAAACGTACTCTTCCCGCACCCAGAGGGACCGATGAAGGCGGTCACCTGATTGGCCGGAATCCGGATCGCAATACGATCGAGGGCTTTCGTCTCGCCGTAGTAGACGCTGAGATCGTCGACGTCGATCTTGGCGAGCGGTTCGGCCGGTCCACGCGCGCCGGCCGGCGACGCCTCGGCAAGGGCGCCGCTGACCGCATCAGCCGCCATCCGCGAATACCGTATATCCACTCGCCCCTCTGCCGGCAACCCGTGACGGCCGGCAGCTACCGCTGGTACCGATCGCGCAACCACGCCGCCGTCCCATTCATCGCCAGGAGCAGCGCCAGCAACACCATGATACCGGCTGCAGCGTTTTCGACGAACGCTTCCTGCGGTCGAGACACCCAGTTGAACACCTGAATCGGCAGCACCGTGAATGGTGACCAGATGCCGTCGGGCGCGAACGGCACGTAGGTCAGGGCGCCGATGGTGATCAACGGGGCCGTCTCGCCGATCGCCCGGGACAGCGCCAGCATCGTGCCGGTCAGGATGCCCGGCAGCGCGGCCGGGAGCACCTGATGCCAGATGGTCTGCCAGCGAGTCGCCCCGAGCGCGTACGAGGCCTCGCGCAGGGATGGCGAGACCGCGCGCAGCGCCTCGCGGGACGCCAGGATGACGACCGGCAGCACGAGCAACGCCAGGGTCGCTGCACCCGCGAGCACGCTCCGTCCCATGGCGAGGGCCCGCACGAACAGCCCCAGACCGAGCAGGCCGTAGATGATCGACGGCACCCCGGCCAGATTGGCGATGTTGATCTCGATGAGCCGAAACCAGCGGTCCCGGGTCCCATACTCCTCGAGATAGATCGCCGTCCCCACGCCCACCGGCACCGCGAGCACGGCTGTCGCGGAAATGACCCAGACCGTCCCCAGCAGCGCGGCGTAGATGCCGGCGTCCTCGGCCCGGCGGGAGGGCAGGCTCGTCAGGAAGTCCCACGACAGCCGTCCCACGCCGGCGCTGACGATTTCGACCAGCAGGGCGCCGAGCACGATCAGGCCGAGCAGCGTGGTCCCCAGACCGGCCCCGTGAAACGCCAGATCGAACAGGCGGGTGCGAAAGCGACGGGTCACGAGTACCCCTCCCGGAACCGTTCGCGCAACCAGTGGCTCATCACGTTGAGCAGCAAGGTGCTGAGGAACAGCAGCATGCCGACCGCGAAGATCGTGCGATAGGCGAGCGTGCCTGCCGGGGTGTCGCCCAGACTGACCTGAACGATATAGGCCGTCATCGTCTCCACCGGGACCAGCGGGTTGGCGGTGAGACGCGGCTGCTGTCCGGCCGCGATGCTGACGATCATCGTCTCGCCGATGGCGCGCGACGCCGCCACGATGCCCGCCGCCGAGATGCCGGAGAACGCGGCCGGGAGCACGACGCGCAGCGTCGTCTGCATCTTGCTGGCTCCGAGCGCGTAGCCCGCTTCCCGCAGTCCGGACGGTACGCCGCGCAGCGCGTCCTCGGACAGCGACGAGACCATCGGCAGAATCATGATGCCCATGACCAGTCCGGGACTCAGCGCGTTGAACCCGGACAGGGTCGGGATCACCTGTTGCAGCAGCGGGGTCACGAACAGCAGCGCGAAGTAGCCGTAGACGACGGTCGGCACACCGGCCAGCACCTCGAGCACCGGCTTGACGATGCGCCGCACCCGTTCAGGCGCGTACTCGCTTAGATAGATCGCCGTCAACAGACCGGCCGGCACCGCGACCGTCAAGGCAATGCCAGCCACCAGCAACGTTCCCGCCACCAAGGGCAGCACTCCGAACGACTGCTGAAAGAACAGCGGCGTCCACACCCTCCCCCCGAGGAATTCGAAGGGCGACACGTCCCGGAAAAAACGCACCGTCTCGACCGCCAGCACGGACAGGATGCCCACGGTCACAAGCACCGAGACCCCCGCGCAGGCGCGCAGCATCCATTCGATGAGGGACTCGATCCGTACGCGCCGTGTGGGCGACATGAGTGTCCGTTCCCAGGGGTCCGTCGATACGAATGCGGCAGGAGCGTTCAGCGCGCGCCGGCGGCGAGCAGGTCCGGCAGCGGGGTCATTGCGGCCACGGTGTCATACATTGTGCCGCCGACGCGGTCCTCGAATCTACGCCGGACCAGAACGTACTCGTCGCTGCTCAACGGGACATAGCCGACCTCGCGCACGAGATCGGCGCCTTCATGTAACGACACCGCCGCGATCGGTCAGGTCGATCCGGCTGGTGCGGAACGGAGGGCGGTGGTCACGAGTCGACACGGTCGTGGTGCGCGTCCTCTACGAACCGGTAGCCGAACCCGAAGACAGTCTCGATCTGGCCTCCAGCAGGTCCGAGTTTCGCACGGAGCCGCCCGAGATGCACGTCCACGGTGCGACTCTCGATTGTCCCGTCGGCACCCCAAACCCGATCCAGCAGCCGCTCCCGGGACATCACGCGATTCCGGTTCTCGACGAGACACCGCAGGATCTGGAACTCGCGACGGGTCAATCTGACCGGACGGCCATTCACGGCCACCTCGACCGCCGCGAAGTCCGCCATGAGACTGCGCCCCTCGTAGACCTCGGACACCTGGTGCACTCCCGCCGCACGACGTGCCACCGCGCGGGCCCGTGCCGTCAGTTCCCGCAACCCGAACGGTTTCGTCACATAGTCGTCCGCACCCAGCTCGAAAGCCCGCACACGGTCGGCCTCGCTGGTGCGGGCGGTGACGACGATGATCGGCACGGACGGCGCCGGGCGCCGGGCGCGCAGCATGCGGCACAAGGTAAACCCGTCGATGTCCGGCAGATTGAGGTCAAGAATCATGAGTTCGGGCGGATCGGTCGCCATGACGTCGAGCGCGTCCGACCCCGTTCCAACAACCTCCACATGGGTCGCGCCTGCACGCCGAAACGCCGATTGAATCAGCGCGGCGATATCCGTATCGTCCTCGACCACCAGCACCCGCATGACCTGGAGCATCCCGTGGCAAACGTCCCGGTGCATTCGAACGACGCTGCATCCCCGCTGGCGGCGTTGCTCCTCGGTCACACAGGCACCGATGTGCTCCCTCGTCGCGCCGTGCGCAGCCCGGGCACGGCCTGGTTGCGACCAGTGCCCGGTGCGACGCGGGGTTCTGTCACTGGATGCTAGCCTGCAGGTATTTCGCCGCGATGACGCGGCTGTAAATTATGTGTTAACAACATTTTACGCCCATGGTCAGGGCCGCCGCCGAATTAACGCCGATGTAATCGCACCGTCATCGATACGTAACAGTCGGCCGTTACGATGGCCGTCATGAGCATGGTTTCACACGGTTCGTCCGGCGCCGTCTTGTCTGGCGGAGGGCGTTGGATTGACCCAGCACGTGTCCTCCAGAAGGGATCAGCAATGCGAAGCGGGTTGTGGGGAATGGTGTGTGTCGCGGTCCTGGCGGCGGCGCCTCCCCTGTGGGCGCAGGCAACAGGAAACATCGCCGGGACGGTCATCGATCAGACCAACGCCATTCCGCTACCCGGCGTGCCGGTCGAGGTGGTCGGGACCACCAACGTCGCTTATACCGACCTCGACGGGCGGTATGAGCTCGAGGTCGCGGCGGGCGAGCATGAATTGAAAATCGCGCTGGGCGGGTATGCCGAGCAGCTCGTCACCATTGAGGTCGTCGCGGGCCGGCTCACCGAGGTGCAGGTCGCGATGACGACCAACCGCTTCTCCGAAGAGGTGGCGGTCGTCGCGTCAAGTCTGGAGGCAGAGAGTTCGACCGCCTCGGCACAGATCATGCTGCGGATGCGGGCGCCGGTGGTGCAGGACAACATCGGGGCCCTGGAGATGCGCGCGAACTCCGACTCTGACGCCGCTGACGCGATGGCTCGGGTCACCGGGGTCTCGGTCGTCAACAACCAGTCGGTGTTCGTGCGGGGCCTCGGCGATCGCTACAGCAACACGACCCTGAACGGCGCCACGCTGCCGACCACGGAGCCGGACCGGCGCGTGGTGCCCCTCGACCTGTTCCCGACCGGCTGATTGACAGCGTGCAGGTCAGCAAGACCTACTCGCCGGACATGCCGTCCCAGTTCGCTGGCGGCCTCGTCGAGATCATCTCGCTGAAGATGCCGGCCCAGACGTCATACGAATTCTCGGCCGGTGGCTCGTTCAACTCGGTGTCCACCGGTCAGAGCGGGCTGGACTACGACGGGGGACGCGCGTGGAGCGGCTTCGACGACGGCACGCGGGCGCTGCCATCCGGCTTCCCGACGCGCAAGATCATCCGCGGCGGGCGCTTCACCAGCAACGAGCTCGGGTTCCTGCAGAGCGACATCGAGCGGCTCGGCGAACTCTTCAACAACACCTGGGATCCGGTGCCCAGGGATCTCCCGCTGAACCAGTCCTACAGCGGGACGTTCGGTGGCCGCTTCGACAAGCTCGGCATCGTCGCCACGATGCGCCACGCGCAGAACTCGCAACTGACGCAGGAACGGCAGTCCTACTACAAGGTCGGACAGGGTTCGGCCATCGAGTTGTTCAACGGTCCGTACGACTTCAACGAGACGCAGTTCACCTCGACCGTGGGCGCCGTGGGCAACGCGGCGTATCAGTTCACGCCCAACCACCGGCTGTCACTCGACAACTTCTACACCCACGTCGGTACCGACGAGACCCGGACGTTCGAAGGGTTCAACAGCGACGCCGACAACGACATCAGGAACCAGCGGCTGTTCTTCGTTGACGAGCAGATCCGGTCGCACCATATCGGTGGCGATCACCTGTTCCCCAACGCGTCGAACAGCCGCATCGACTGGAAGGTCGCCTTGTCGGTCGCGGACCGCAACGAACCGGACATGCGCGAGGTGCTCTACGAGTTCGACCCGGCGCGCGAGGCGTTCGTGCTCGCCGATGAATCGCAGAGCGGCCTCCGGCAGTTCAATACGCTGGCGGACGAAAGTCTCGAGACCAGCGCCAACTGGGCGAGCGTGGTCAACGTGGCCGGTCTGCCAACGCAGGTGAAATTCGGCGCCTCCTATATCGACCGGGCTCGTGATTTCCAGTCACGGCGGCTGCGGTTCGCGCCGTTGAACACCGCCGGACTGGATCTGTCCGCGCCGGCCGAAGAGCTGTTCACTCCAGCCAACATCGGCCCGAACTTTCAACTCAAGGAAGAAACCCGTCCCACGGACACCTACGCGGCGTCACAGGAGACCGGATCGTTCTACGGGATGGTGGATCTGCCAATGGGACCCCGTTGGCGTCTGCTGGGCGGAGCCCGCGTCGAGACGTTCCGGCAGACGGTCGATACGTTCGACCCGTTCGTGCGGGAGGTTGGCGACAACCCGCAGATCGTGCGGGCGCAACTCGACGAGACGAACATCTTCCCCGCCGCGAATTTCGTGTACGCCCTCACCGGCAATCAGAACATTCGGTTCGGTGTCAGTCAGACGGTGAACCGCCCGGAGTTCCGCGAGCTGGCGCCGTTCGAGTTCACCGACGTGGTCGGCGGGCGGGCCATCGCGGGCAACATCGACCTGCAGCAGTCGCTGATCCAGAACGTCGACGCCCGCTGGGAGTGGTTCCCGCGCGCCGAAGAGGTCATCTCGGCGAGTTTCTTCTACAAGAACTTCGACGACCCGATCGAGCGCATCGTCGAACCGACGGCCCAACTGCGCACGTCGTTCACCAACGCCGACTCGGCGCGCAACGCCGGGTTCGAACTCGAGGCGAGAAAGCTGCTCACGCCGCACCTCTTCATCGGTGCGAACTACACCTTCGTCCGCTCTGAAGTGTCGCTCGACGCCGCCGCCCGCCAGGTGCAGACCTCGCTGGTGCGCCCGCTGGCCGGCACGTCCCCGAATTTGTTCAACCTCCTGTTCGAGGTGCGCGGCTTGGGGTATTCGACCCGCCTGCTGTGGAACTTCTTCGACGACCGCATCAGCGACGTCGGATCGCTCGGCCTGCCCGACATCATCGAGGAAGCGCGGAACTCGCTCGACCTGGTGTTCTCGAAGCGGTTCGATCGGGTCAGCTTCAAGCTGGGCGTGGGCAACCTGACAGACGAGGGAATACGTGTTCTCGCAGGGGGGCCTGGGACAACGGGTCTTCGCCCTCGGCCGGACCGTCAGCTTCGGTCTCAGTGTGTATCCATAGCAGGCAACGCGCCGGATGCAGGTATGCACAGAAAAACAGGATTCAGGACTTAACGACATGTGGACCACACCAGAGATACTGAACGTGCGGCGCATCGGCGGACAGACGCTGGCGGCGCTGCTGCTGGCGGCCGCGGCCGTCGTCACGTCGGGCGAGCGGACCTTGACCCAGTCGACGACGTCATGCCGCACCGTCGCTGGCGTCGCGAAAGAAGTGTGCGTCGTCCGGGGAACGATCACCAGCGACACCACCTGGCACAACGGCTCCTACTGGGTGCTGCGCGGCGCGGTCTTCGTCGACGCGCCGGCCCAGTTGACCATCGACGCCGGCACCGAAATCTTCGGCGAGTTCGCCACCAACGGCACGCTGATCATCGCGAAGGGCGCGCAGATCCTGGCCAACGGCACCGCGGATGCGCCGATCGTGTTCAGCAGCGACCAGCCGATCGGCGAGCGTGCGCGCGCCGACTGGGGCGGCCTGATCATCAACGGTCAGGCGCCGCTCAACGTGCCGGGCAACGAGTCGGTCGGCGAAGGCGACACGGGTATCTATGGCGGCACCAACCCGGATGACGACAGCGGACATCTGCGCTACGTACGGGTCGAATTCGCCGGCACCGAGTTCAGCCCGGACAACGAGTTGAACGGCATCGCGTTCCAGGCTGTCGGGCGCAACACCGAGGTCGAGCACGTGATGGTCAAGTACAATAAGGACGACGGACTCGAGTTCTTCGGCGGCACCGTGCAGGTCAAGCACATCGTCCTGCAGGGCATCGCGGACGACAGTGTCGACTGGACCGATGGATGGCAAGGCAAGGGCCAGTTCATCATCGTGATGCAGAGCGGCGACGACGCCGACCAGGGCATCGAGGCGGACAACAACGGCGACAACAACAACCTGACGCCGCGCTCGAACCCGACCCTCTACAACCTGACGCTCATCGGCGATCCCGACACCGACGAGGGCAGCGAGAGCGACGTCGGCATGCTCTTGCGTGAAGGGACCGCGGCAACGATCAGGAACTTCATCGTGACCGGCTTCAAGGAAGCCTCCGTCGACATCGACCACTCGGTCACGTTCGACCAGATCACGGAGGGAAATCTGACGCTCGGCAGCGGCATCATTCATGGCAATTGCATTGTCAACGGGTGCGACGGACAGTTCCGTCCCGACAGCGATGACGCCAGGGCGCCGATCACGACGAAGGATTTCGTGACCGGCAGCGCGAACGTGTCGTTCGTCGACCCACTGCTCGCCGACCCGTTCAACCTGGCCGACCCCGATTTCAGGCCCGCGGCGACGTCACCCGCGCTGAACGGCGCCGTCACGGCCAGCGTGACGCCGAACGACGGATTCTTCGACATCGCGAACTTCATCGGCGCGGTCGGGCCCGCCGGCAGTGGACAGGACACCTGGTGGATGGGCTGGACCGACTTCGCCACCAACTAGCAGCCCGTGGTAGAACCCCGCGTTGCACCGAGATTGGCGCGGCGCCTGGCTGGCAAGGCGCGACGAGGGAGCAAATTGGGGCATTTGTGACCGAGGAGCAACGCCGCCAGACGGGATGCAGCGCCAATCGAATGCAGTGGGGTTCTTACCACGGGCTGCTGCAGCCCGTGTCCCGCGTGCATACGACACCTCTCGGCAACTCCCGTCATCTGACGGGAGTTGCCGTTATACGCGCTCCTCGCGGCGCTGACTCGTCAGCGGGTGCGCCGATTCCCCACCGCCCTCGCTGGGCACGACCTATCGTCCTCCGAAGCGCTGGCGCAGGCGGTCCTCGACGCGCTTGCCGACGGTGATCTGGCCGGCCTGGACGCACTGGCCATCAACGGACAGGAGTTCAGAGACGTCGTCTGGCAGAACTGCCGTCGAGCCGGCCCGAGCGGGGGCTCCCGGTCTCCTACGCCTGGACGACCTGCACCATGAAGAGCTCGAATGCGCTACGCCGGCTGGTCGACCGTTGGGGTGGGCGCACCTACGCCCTGCTGGCCGTGAGCTACGACGGCGAGACGACCGACTACGACACGTTCCGTGTCCACCGCGAGACCCGGCTGACCGTGCGAGACGAGGCGGGCAACGAGATCGAGGTGCATTTCTACGGCTCGACGCTCGTGCGGGACGATGAGTATAAGGTGTTCAGCTACGTCATCGACTAGCAGTCCGTGGCATTGCATCCGGCCACCCGTGGTAAAACGTCCTGCGTGGCGCCGAGGGCGGCGACACCCCGCGACCCCGCACGAGACATGACCGAGCGACGCGATTTCCGGCAGACAAAGATCATCTGCACCCTGGGCCCATCCTGCAGCACCCTGGACCAGATCGAGAAGCTGGCCAATGCCGGCATGAACGTCGCGCGGCTCAACATGTCGCACGGTGACCATGAGAGTCACCGCCGCAACATCGGCCATGTCCACGACCTCAGCCGCCGGCTCAATCACCCGATCGCCGTGCTGGTCGACCTGCGCGGACCCGCCATCCGCACCGGGGAACGCCACGAGCATCTCGAGCTCGAGGTCGGCGAGGAGTTCTCGGTCAGCGTCACGCCGACCGACGACCCTGAAGAAAGACCATCCATGTCGACTACGCCGACATGCTGCATCAATTGGCCGTTGGCGACCCGATCACGGTCGACAACGGCCTCATCAGCCTCGAAGTGCTGGAGGTCCGCGAACGCGACCTCAGATGTCGTGTGATCGACGGCGGGACCCTCGGCTCGCGCAAGCACATCAACCTGCCGGGTATTCGCATCAACCTGCCCTCGATCTCTGAGCAGGACACGCGCGATATCCGCTTCGCCATCGAGCAGGATACCGATTTCCTCGCCCTGTCGTTCGTGCGCAGCGCCGAGGCGGTGCGCGAGGCGCGGCGGGTCGTTGAGGACGCGGGCGGTCACCACCTGCGGATCATCGCCAAGATCGAAAATCAGGAAGGAATCGACAACCTGGATGAGATCATCGCCGAGGCGGACGGCCTCATGGTGGCGCGCGGCGACCTCGGGGTCGAGGTCGAGTTCGCCGAACTGCCGGTCGCGCAGCGCAAGATGGTGCGGAAGTGCATCGTCGCCGGAAAGCCGGTCATCGTCGCCACCCACCTGCTCGAATCGATGATCGAAGATCCGATGCCGACCCGGGCCGAGGTCACCGACGTGGCCAACGCGGTCTATGAGCAGGTCGACGCCGTCATGCTGAGCGGCGAGACCGCCACCGGGGTCCATCCAGTGCGCTGCGTCGAAGTGCTGGACCGCATTGCGAGACGGATCGAGAAGGAGGACGGGCTCGGCTTCCACAACGTGCGAAACCCGGCGACCGTGCGAGAGCAACTGGCCCGCGGCGCCTGCCGGCTCGCCGATTCTCTCGACTCGCCCGCAATCGTCGTGATCACGCGACGGGGTCTGCTCGGCCATCTGGTGAGCAGTTTTCGCCCGAAGAACGCCATCATCTACGCCTTCACGAACCTGAGCCCCGCGCGCCGCGCGTTATGGCTGTCGCGCTCGGTCGTACCGTTCGAGATGGAGCTGTCGACTGAACCTGACGAAACGGTTGTCGCGGCCTTCGAACGGCTGCGATACCATAATCGGCTCGTATCCGGCGACCAGATCGTCGTCGTCTCGGATGTGGCCACGGTCCACGGGAACGTCAGCGCGATTCAGGTACGCACCGTCGACTGACCGCCCGCACCGGGAGCATGCCCGCGCTGGAGACAGGAGCAAACCCATGAGTAGCCGCATCCCGCTAACGCTGATGATTGCCGTGGTCTCGATGGCCGCCGCCGTCTCGGCCGACGACTGGCCGCAATGGCGCGGCGCAGACCGGCTGGCGGTCTGGCACGAGACCGGCATCGTCGAGGAGTTGCCCGCTGCGCTCGAAGTCGCCTGGCGCACGCCGATTCGCGCCGGCTACTCCGGCCCGGCGGTGGCCGGCGGCCGGGTGTTCGTGACCGATTGGACCGAGCAGGCGGACTCACGCACCCTCGACGGGACCGAGCGCGCCCTGGCGCTCGACGAGCGCACCGGCGAGGTGCTCTGGACCCACGAATGGGAGACGTCCTACCGGATGTTGACGATCAGCTACGCTATTGGCCCGCGATCGACGCCCACCGTGGACGGCGACCGCGTGTACATCCTCGGCGCGACCGGCCGGCTGTTCTGTTTCGACGTCGAGACCGGCGCCGTCATCTGGGAGAAGGATTACGTCGCCGAGTACGGCACGAGCGTGCCGGTCTGGGGCATCGTGAGCTCACCGCTCGTCGACGGGGACCGGCTGATCACGGTGGTCGGCGGCGAGCCGGACGCACTCGTGGTGGCGTTCGACAAGCACACCGGCGCAGAGATCTGGCGGGCGATCGAGGTCGAGGCGGAGATCGGCTACGCCCAGCCGGTGATCTATCACGCCGGCGGCGTGCGCCAACTGATCGTCTGGCATCCGCGGGCCCTCGCCTCGCTCAATCCCGAGACCGGGGCGCTCTACTGGGAGCAGCCGTGGGTGGTGTCGATGGGCGTGACGGTGGCGACGCCGGTCCGCAGCGGCGACTACCTGCTGGTGTCGCAGTTCTTCAACGGGTCGCTGATGATGCGGCTCAACCAGGATCGGCCGGCCGCCACGGAGCTGTGGCGGGGGCAGAGCCGCAGCGAACTGCCCGGCGAGACCGACACCATCCATTCGATGGTGACGACACCGCTGATCATCGGCGACTACGTGTATGGGGTCGACAGCTACGGCGAGTTGCGGGGTCTGGACGCGCAGACCGGCGAGCGCCTCTGGATGAGCCCGGACATGACCGCGCAGGCGCGCTGGAGCACCGCCTTCATGGTGCGCCACCAGGACCGCTACTTCGTCAACAACGACGAAGGCGACCTGATTCTGGCCCGCTTCACACCGTCCGGCTACGTCGAGCTCGACCGCACGCGGCTCATCGAGCCGACCGGCGGCTCCGGATCGAACACCCCGCACGGCCGCATCGCGGAACGTCTCGTCAACTGGTCGCATCCGGCCTACGCCAACGGGCACATCGTGCATCGGAACGACCGCGAGATCATCCGCGCCTCGCTGCGTGCCGCCGACTACTAGCAGTCCGTGGTGAAACCCCGCGTCGCACCGAGACCGGCCAAGCGCCGGTCTGACAAGGCGTGACGAGGGAGCATATTGGGCATATGCGACCGAGAAACAACGCAGTTCAGACCGGATGCATGGCCGGTCGAATGCAGCGGGGCTTTTGCCCACGGGCTGCTAGGCCGGCGTAGCAGCCGTCCGCCGACGCGGAGACGCGCGGCGCCGGCGTCAGTCGGGCAACCCCAACACAATGAGCGACGGCGGGTCGCCGCCGACCGTGATCGCGATGAACTGCCTGCCGTCGAGCAGATAGGTCATCGGCGAGCCGAGCCCGGCGCCCGGAAGATCAACCGATCCCAGTTCCGCCCCGGTCGCCTTGTCATAAGCCACCAGCCGCGGTCCGTCCTCGGCGCCGCCGGTAGTCAGCGAGTAGATCAGCAGGGTCTTGGTGACGAGCGGTCCGTTGCGCGTTGCGTCGCCGCCGAGCGGGGGCAGGTCGAGATCGCGCAGCAGCGGGTTGCGGCGGTAGCGGTTGCCTTCGCCGGTTGGAGTCATCCAGACATGCTCACCGGTGTTCATGTCGATGGCGGTCATCCGCGAGTACGGCGGCTTGAAGAGCGGCAACCCTCGAGGCATCGTCGGGCGGGCTCCCCCGCGGCCCTGAATGTAGTTCAGGGTGGCGTTGTCCTCGGGCGTCGTCTTTCGCAAAGGCATGATGCTCCAGGCGTTGTGCGACGGGATGTAGATGATGCCGGTCTCGGGGTCGACCGACCCGCCGCCCCAGTTGCGCCGCCCGCGGCGCTCGGCCGAAAGATGGTGCCGGCGTTGCTGTGGGGCGTGTAGAGCGGACCGATGCGGAAGTCGGCGACCGCCGTCATCGCCATCTGCCGAATCTCGGGTGTGAAATCGACCAGGTCGTCGATCGACACGCCCTGGTATTCGAACGGCGCCGGGCGGGTGGGAAACGGCTGTGTCGGCGACGGCAGCTCGCCCTCGATGTCCGTATCCAATGGGACCGCGCGCTCTTCGATGGGCCAGATCGGCTCGCCGGTCACCCTGTCGAAGGCGAAGACGAACCCCTGCTTCGTCACCTGCACGACCGCTTTCACCTGCCGGCCGTCGACGGTGAGGTCCATCAGGTTCGGGGCGGCCGGCAGATCGTAGTCCCACAACCCGTGGTGCAGGATCTGGAAATGCCAGACGCGCTGGCCAGTCTCGACATCGAGCGCGACCAGGCTCTCGGCGAACAGGTTGTCACCCAGACGATGGCCCCCGTAGTAGTCGGGCGCGGCGGTATTGGTCGGCAGGTACAGATACCCCAGCTCTTCGTCGAAGCTCATCTGGGTCCAGACGCCGACCTTCCCGGTCTCGCGCCACGAGTCGCCGGCCCAGGTGTCATTGCCGAACTCGTCCCCCTGCGGAATCGTGTGAAACACCCAGTTCACCCGGCCGGTGCGCACATCGAACCCGCGCATCCAGCCCGGCGGCGCCTCTTTCGTATTGTTGAACGAGGAGATCGACGCCGGCGTGATGATGGTGTCCCGCACGACGAACGGCGGTGACTGCACCGAATAGAGCAGCGCGTTGAGCCAGTCGCGCCGCCCGCGATCGGCCCGTGGAATGCCTTCCATCAGGTCGACCCGCCCGGCGACCCCGAAGTCGTCGCAGGGACGCCCGGTCTGCGCCATGACGCAGACCAGATACCCGTTGCCCGTGCCCCACACGACACGCGCCTGCGCCGGCCCCTCCCGATCCCAGTAGCCGACCCCCCGCTGGCTCCAGGTCAGGCTCATCGTCGTGGTGCCTTCCTCGTAGCTCTTCGGGTTGTAGATCCAGCGGGTCTCACCGCTGCGCGCGTCGATCCCGGCGCCGATCGACAGCGGCGTGTTCACGAACAGCATGCCGTCGGCCATGATCGGCGTCGGTTTGAAATTCCGGTAGTGCGGCCGGTTCCCGGTCCCGCCAGCGATCGGGGTCGTCCGCCTCAAGTGCGTCGACGATCTCGCCGATCGGCGCGAGCCACTCGCCCGCGCCGGGGGGTCGTCTTGCTGAGCAGGGCGTCAGGCGTACGCCAGCGCCACTGCAGCTCGAGCTGCTCGAAGTTGTCCCGCGTGATCTGGTCCAGGGGCGAGTACTTCGTGCTGCCCAGATCTCCGCCGAAGGTGCGCCACTCGCCGTCGGCCGGCGCGCCCTGCTGCGCCGGAACCGTCCGGGCGCCGAGCGTCAGCAGCGCCGCGCAGGCAATGGATGATACGAACGCTGAACGACTGGGGTGCATGGCTGAGTCTCCGTGTGTGACCAGATTCTACATCTGCGGGCGGTCCGGGTCAGATACACCGTCGCCTGCTCGAACGCCGCCGGCGGCGGGCGGGGACGCACGGCCTGAGGCCGGGGTGGTCAGCGCTGCAGCCGATAGACGACGAGCGCACCCGCTTCGGCGGCCACCGGCAGGTCGAGCCGCTGCTCGGTGATGAGATAGTCGAGGTCGTATTGCCGCGCCAGCGCGCCGGCGCGCTCAACGGTCAGCGCGTCGAAATGGCCGAGGTCGTCGCCCCGCCGGGTGACCCGCTCGGCGATCTCCGACGAGTAGATCGCCAACGCGCTGTCCTTGATCACCTCCAGATAGACATCGCGCCCGCTGGCCGCCCGCACGCTGATGCCGTACCGGGCGGCGTGAATTGGATCGGCCAGGAAATGGGTGCCGACGGGCTGCGCCTGCGCCCAGACCATCAGATCGGTCCAGTCGCCGGCCGGGGGCCCCACCTCGACGACCGGCCGATCAGGCCGCTCGACGAACCCGCGATACCCGCCCCGCCACATCGTCAGCAGCGCGATGACGACGACGAAGACGCGACGGGGCGTCACGACGCCCGCTGCGGCCCGCGCGCCGGCGCGGAGCGGGCTCTCGAACAGCAGCCAGGCGAAGTACACCAGCCCCACGCCGTCGATCAACCAGAACACCCGGTTGACCTGCAACTGGACGGCCAGCGCGACATGGGCGTAGGAGAATGGCGCCGACAGCAGAAATACCGCCAGCAGCACCCCGCAGCCCGCGACCAGCGACGCCTCACGGGCGGTCGTCATCCCGAGCGCACGCCGATAGCCGTAGAGCACGAAGACGAAGACGGCGATGGCCAAATTGCCGAGCCAGCCGGCGAGCGGCCAGCCGGGCATGACCAGGTAATCCTTGGACTCGATCACCGCCACCCACGTGTCATCCATCACCACGAGCTGCCCGAGCAGCGACCCGCCAAGCGCCAGCAGTCCGACCGCGGCCGCAGGCGCCGCCCAGAGCAGTAGCGCCCGCCGCGAGACCGCGCCGCTGAACACCGCCGCCGCTCCGAGCAGGACCGCGTACCAGAACCCGATGGTGGGGTGCACGCACACGGCCGCCGCCACCAGCGCTAGCGCCAGCCGGGTCCGTCCCGAGAGATAGAGCGCCACGGCCGCCCAGCCCATCGCGAACGCCAGCAGCCGCGGGTGGAAATAGCCCTCGATCGAGTTGGCGCCGGTATACGGAATGCGGTGACGGATGGTCATCAGCACCAGCAGACCGCCGATGGTCCACCAACTGCGATACACCGTCAGCCCGATCCCCACGATGGCGCCGTAGAGCAGCAGCCACGTCACGATCTGGCCCGCCAGGAACGCGGTCGGGAGCGACAGCCCGGTCAGCCGTACGAGCGGCGCGAACCAGTCGTCGAAGAACAGCAGCCGATCCTGGGCGGCGATCAGCGCACCGTCGTGCGGAAACAGCCCCGGCTCCATCTCCTGGAGCACGACCGGAATGTAGAACGCCTGATCCGAGGTCCCGTAGTGGTACCCGCCGGAGTTGAGCGTCGCGAGGACACTGAACGCGACGGCGCCGGCGATCAGCAGCGACCACTGACGCCAGGCCGATCCCGGCCGGTGCGTCGCTGCCTCCGTGGTCTCTGGCGTCGGCATCGGTCTGGGGTGAGTGCCGTCGCAGCCAACCGGCTGCTCATTGACGCAGCAGCCGGTCGACGAACAGCAACAGGGCGGGCACACCGTAGAACAGCGCCACGACCCAGAACATGGTCCATTTCCTGGATCGCAACGCCAATTTTGTCACGTAGCGGGCAGACGCCAGCGGCACACGGCGGGTGATCTGCAGAGGATAGATCACGAGCATGCCGGTCAGGTTGAACACCAGATGCACGAGCGCGATCTGGAGACCGTAGATGGCGTTCGGCCCCGACACGGCCAGCGCCGCCAGCAACGCGGTGACGGTGGTCCCGATGTTGGCGCCGATGGTGATCGGCAGCGCCTGTTCGAGCCGCAACAAGCCTGCCGCGCCAAGCGGCACCAGCAGCGACGTGGTCACGGAGCTCGACTGGACCATCGCTGTCACCACGATCCCGGTCAGAATCGAGAGCACGGCACTCGATCCGAGAACCGTCCGGATCAGGTGCTCCACGCGGGTCTGGACCAGCGATCGCATCACCTTCACGAGCGTGAACAGCATCGTGACGATCAGACCGCCGGAGAACGCGATCAGGACGAATCCCTGCAATTGCTCGACCGGGAACAGCCAGGCCGCGGCACGCTCCACCGGCGCCAGCGCCAATGCCAATGCGCCGGCGAACGGGCTCTCGTAGTCGTATCCCCCGGCACCTTCCAGCACGCTGGCGAGCGTCACCGCGGTCCGTCGCAGATACCCGGTGGCCAGCTCCAGAGGCAGCAGCACGACGACGGTCGCATAGTTGAAGAGGTCGTGGCAGACGGCCACGGGAAACGCCTTCTCGAACTCGGCGCGCCGCCCCATATACACCATCGAGACGATCGTGGCGGTCACGGTCGTACCAATGTTGGCCCCCATGATCATCGGGACCGCGCTGACCAGCGGCAACGGTGACTCAGGTGCCGCCACAAGTCCGACGATGACGGCGGTCGTGACCGAGGAACTCTGCATGACGGTCGTGGCGAGAATGCCCACGATCAGACCCATGAACGGGTTCCGCGTCGCGACGAAAATCGCATCGAGAACGTCGGCGCCGAGCAGTTCGAAGCCTTCGCCGAGCCCTTTCACACCGACCAGAAACCCGAACAGGAGAAGGATGACGGTGAGCGGCCTCGAAAAAGACCGTGCGCCTTCCGCCGGGGGCAACTGAGACTCTGCGGGCAAAACGGATGGTCCAGTTCGACGACCCCGTCGAGCGGAGCGGGCATCATTCTATATCATTCCCTCGCAGGATTCGGGGCGGTCCCTGACCTGTTCGAGTGAAACCTGATCCGGTGGTGACTCTTGACCTGCCGGCGTGTAAGATACGCCTTGGGGCTTGTGTACCTCGGGGTGAGGAAACGTATGCGCAGACACGGATTCGGCGCCGCGGCTGTTGCGTTGGTGGCGGCGTGCGTGGCCGTCCCGCCGCTGCAGGCGGCGGCGCAGGCGCAGCAGAACGTAGCGGCAGCCCCCGATCAGGCGCTGCTGAACCGCTACTGCCTCGGGTGCCACAACGATCAGGCGTTGCGCGGCGGCCTGTCGATGGAGGGCGTGGCGCTCGACGACGTGGCCGGCCATGTCGACGTCTGGGAGCGCGCGTTGCGCAAGCTGCGCGCCGGCGCGATGCCGCCTGACGGTGCACCGCGCCCGGACGCGGCCGCCTATGCCGGGCTGGTCCACTACCTCGAGACCGAACTCGACACGCTGGCGGCGACCCACCTGAACCCGGGCCGGACGGACACCTTCCGGCGTTTGAACCGCACCGAGTATCGGAATGCCATTCGCGACCTGCTGGCGCTTGACGTCGATGTCGCGGCGCTACTCCCGCGCGACGACGCGGCCTTCGGGTTCGACAACGTCGGGGTCGTCGAGCTGTCGCCCACCCTGATGGAACGTTATCTGGCGGCGGCCCCAGAAAATCAGCCGGCTCGCGGTCGGCAGCCTGGCGATCGTGCCGGGCAGCCGCGTGGTCACGCTGCGCCCCGATCTGACCCAGGAGGGCCACATCGAGGGGCTCCCGTTCGGCACGCGCGGCGGCACCGAGGTGGACCACACGTTTCCCCTGGACGGCGAATACGAGATTGAAGTCCGGCTGGCCCGCAACCGCAACGAGAACGTTGAAGGACTACGGGAACCCCACGTACTGGAGATGACGTTGGACGGTGAACGCCTGGACCTGTTCACCGTCGTGCCGGACCGCAACCGGCTGGGCAGCTACTATGCCGACGAGGACGTCGACAAGCACCTGAATCTGCGTATCCCGGTCAGCGCGGGGCCGCACACGTTCGGCGCGGCATTCCTGCAGAAGAACTCGGCGCTCATCGAATCGGAACGGCAACCATATCAGGCTCAGTTCAACCAGGATCGGCACCCCCGCCAACAGCCGGCGGTCCACTCGGTGTCGATCAGCGGTCCGTTCGCACCCACCGGCGCCGGCGATACCCCGAGCCGCCGCCGGATCTTCGCGTGCCGGCCGGCCACGGCGGCCGACGAGGCCGATTGCGCCGCGACGATCATTTTCCGGTCTGGCCCGGCGCGCCTACCGGCGACCGGTCTCGTTCACGGACATCGAGATGCCGCTGGCCTTCTACGAACGCGGACGTGCGGATGGCGACTTCGAGGCCGGCATCGAGTTCGCGCTCCGCGCGCTGCTGACCAGCCCGGAATTCCTGTTCAGGATCGAACGCGACCCGGACGGCGTGCCGGCCGGCGCCGCGTATGCACTCAGCGATGTCGAACTGGCGTCGCGTCTCTCCTTTTTTCTCTGGAGCAGCATTCCCGACGACGCGCTGCTCGATGCGGCCGAGGCGGGACAGCTCGGCGACCCGGCGGTTCTCGAGCGCCAGATCCAGCGCATGCTGGCCGACCCACGCGCCGTCACGCTGACAACGAACTTCGCCGACCAGTGGCTGTATCTGCGCAATCTGGAGACGGCCGAACCGAATCTCCGACTGTTCCCCGACTTCGACGACAACCTCCGGCGCGGGTTCCGGCAGGAGACCCAGCTGCTCGTCGGCAGTATCGTCAGCGAAGACCGCAGCGTGGTCGACCTGCTGAACGCGGACTATACGTTCCTCAACGAGCGTCTGGCCCGGCACTACGGGATTCCCGGCGTCTACGGCAATCACTTCCGGCGGGTCGATTTGCCCGCCGACAGTGTCCGCCGCGGCCTGCTGGGGCACGGCAGCATCCTGACGGTGACCTCCTACGCCACCCGCACCTCGCCGGTGCTGCGGGGCAAATGGATTCTCGACACGCTGCTCGGGATGCCACCTCCGGCGCCGCCGGCCAACGTGCCGCCCCTCAATGAACCTGAGCCGGGGGTCGCCGCGCGGTCGATGCGCGAGCGGATGGAAGCGCACCGGGTGAATCCCGCCTGCGCCGCCTGTCATCAACTGATGGATCCGGCCGGGCTGTCGATGGAGAACTTCGACGCCATTGGCCGCTGGCGGGACCGTAGCGAAGACTGGACGCCGATTGACGCCGCCGGCAGCATCCCCGGCGGAGGCGGCTTTGAAGGGGTGGCCGGCCTGCGGGACACCCTGCTGGCCCGTCCCGAAATCTTCGTCGGCGCCATGACCGAGAAACTGCTGACCTATGCACTCGGCCGCGGTCTCGATCACCATGACGGCGCGGCGGTCCGGCGAATCGTGCGCACAGCCGCCGGCGACGACTACCGATTCTCATCCCTCGTGCTCGGGATCGTGGAGAGCACCCCGTTCCAGATGCGGAGGACGCAGCAATGATGATCACCAGGATGGCGCTCCCGCGCCGCACGTTCCTCAAGGGGCTCGGCGCCGCGGTTGCGCTGCCGTTGCTCGATTCCATGGTGCCGGCGTTCACGGCGCAGGCGGCCACCGTCGCCAACGCGCCGCGTCGGCTCGGATTCGTGTTCATCCCGATGGGCATGAACCCGGCGCCGTGGATCCCGACCGAGGTGGGGCGGCTGACCAGCCTCTCGCCATCGCTGGCCGCGCTGACCCCTCATCTCGAGGACGTGACCGTGGTCACGAACATGGAACTCGAGAACGCGCACACGACCGGGAACCACGCGTCGTCGAACGCGGCGTTTCTGAGCTGTCTGCGCGGCAAGCGCACCGAGGGCAGCGATTACGAACTGGGCGTGACGGTGGACCAGATCGCGGCGCAGGCGATCGGGGCCGACACGCCGATTCCGTCACTCGAGCTGGGCACCGATCTGATCGTGCAGGTCGGCTCGTGCGACAACGGGTATGCCTGCGTCTATCAGAACAGCCTGTCCTGGGCCTCGCCCACGTCGCCGCTGCCGACCGAGGCGGACCCGCGCGTGGTCTTCGAACGGCTCTTCGGCGACGGCGGCACACCGACCAGCGCCGGGCCGAGATGCGCAAGAATGCCAGCATCCTCGACTGGGTGCTCGACGACATGTCGAAACTGCAGAAGCAGCTTGGCCATGGCGATCGCTCGAAGGTGGACGAGTATGTGAGCACCGTGCGCGAGGTCGAACGCCGCATTCAGCTCGCCGAGCAGCAGGCCGTGAACTCGCCGCTCCCGGACCTCACGCGGCCCACCAGCGTCCCGGTCGAGTGGGAGGACCACGTCAAGCTCATGTACGATCTGCAGGTTCTGGCGCTGCAGGCCGACCTGACCCGGGTGATCACCTTCCAGATGGCGCGGGAAGCGAGCACGCGCAGCTACCCGCAGATCGGGGTGCCCGAACCGCATCACCCGATTTCGCACCATGTGAACGACCCGGAGAAACTGGCCAAGCTGGCGAAAATCAACGCCTATCACGTGTCGCTGTTCGCTTACATGGTCGACCGGCTGAAGGCGACCGGCGACGGCGACGGATCGCTGCTCGACCACTCGACCTTCATGCTCGGCAGCGGCATGGGCAATCCGGACGTGCACGACCACCGGAACCTGCCGATCGTTGTCGCCCGCGGCGGCGGCGACACGCGCTGGGGCGGCCGGCACGTCAAGTACGACGAGTCGACACCGCTGGCAAACCTGCACCTCGCGCTGCTCGATGACGTGGGCGTGCATCTGGACCGCTTCGTGGACAGCACCGGTCACGCCATCGAGGTCATGGAGCCGCTGAGTCTGTAGGTGGACCCCGAGCCGCCCGTGGTGACACCGCGCGCGGCTCGAGTTGCCGGGAGAATACGGATGATCCGGTCACGACAGATCGTCACCGTGGTGTGGTTCGCCCTGCTGGCGGCCGGGACGGCTGTCGCCCTGGCGGCCGACGCGCCGCTGATCGACGCGGTCAGGGCGGCCGACGTCGAACGCGTGCGCGCCTTGATCGACCAGGGCGCCGACGTGCGGGCGGCCGAACCGGACGGGACCACGCCGCTGCACTGGGCGGCGCATGGCCGGCAGGTCGAGATCACCAGACTGCTGCTCGGGGCCGGCGCCGTCGCGAACGTGGCGAACCGCTATGGCGTGCGTCCGCTGTCGTTGGCGGCGGTCACCGGCGACGCCCCCACGATCGCGGCACTGCTCGAGGCGGGCGCCAACCCGCACACCACGCTCATGGAGGGCGAGACGGTGCTGATGACCGCGGCGCGGGCCGGGAACGTCGAGGCGGTCGAACTGCTGCTGGACGCCGGCGCCGACGTGAACGCGCACGAGCACTGGAAGGGGCAGACGGCGCTCATGTGGGCCGCCGCCGAGGGTCACGCGCAGGTCTTGCCGACACTCGTGGCGCACGGGGCCGATCTCGCGGCCCGCTCGGAACGCGGCTTCACGGCGTTGCTCTTCGCGGCGCGGGAAGGCCGGATCGACGTGGTGCAGACGCTGCTCGAGGCAGGCGCCAACCTCGATGAGCAGATCTCCATCAACTCGACCCTGACCGCCGGCGGGGGTCGAACAGCGGCGGTCGTCCGACGCCGGACTGAACGCGTTTCTCCTCGCGGCGGGCAGCGCACACTTCGAGCTGGCGGCGTATCTGCTGGACCGCGGCGCGGACCCGAACGCGGTGCCGCGGGGTTGGACCGCCCTGCATCAGTTGAGCTGGGTACGCAAGGCCGGCATCGCGGGCAGCAACAACCCGGCGCCTGAAGGGTCGGGCGACATGACCAGCATGGCGTTCGCCCGGGCGCTCATCGCGCACGGTGCCGATCTCGACGCACGGGTCACGACGCGGCCGCCCGCCGGCATCACGGGACTGAACTTCATCGGCGGCACCCCGTTCCTGCTCGCCGCCCGGACCGGCGACGCCGAGTACATGCGATTGCTGGCAGAGGCGGGCGCCGACCCGTTCCTGACCAATGACGATCAGTCGACCGCACTGATGGTGGCGGCCGGACTGGGCACCTCGTCGCCCGGGGAAGATCCCGGCACCGAGGCCGAAGTGCTCGAAGCGGTGCAGGTGGCGCTGGATCTCGGGCTCGACATCGACGCCGTCGACGACAAGAGCGAGACTGCCATGCACGGCGCCGCCTACAAGCACCTGCCGCGCGTGGTCAGGCTGCTGGCCGCAGCGGGCGCCAACGTCACCGTCTGGAACACCAGGAATGCACGCGGCGCGACGCCGCTCGACATCGCGGTCGGCATGCACCGCGGCATGAACATCCTGAGCTCGCCCGCGACCGCGGACGCGATTCGCGAGATCATGGACGCGGCGGACGTCAACCCCGACAGCGCCGCGCCACCCAGGTAACCGGCCGCCCGCCGCGCCACACCAGGCGCCGCGACATCCCGACGGCTACGGGCACACCTCGCCGAGACTCTGCACCGAGGTCACGTTGAGGCTGTCAGGACCGCCGCCGGATTCGTCCCGGATGAGCAGGCCCTTGGTCTCGACCTTGTGTCCGACATACGCCTCCGGGCTCGGGAATACGTACATCAGCTTGAAGTCACGGCCGCCCGGCGCCAGCACCTGCGCCGCAGCCAACTCCTCTCCGGTCGACGGCTCCGGGTCAACCGACCGCTCTTCGTCGGTCGCGTTCGACAGTACCCACTGGGACAGTTCGCCCCCGAGACAGCCGACGACCCGCACCAGCGCGAAGTTCGGCACCACGCCGGGGCCATCCTCCCCCTCGACCGTCACAGCGGTCAGTGCCGCGGGCGAGAGCTCACCATCGCCGGCGGGATAGCCGTTCCGCTCGAGGACATAGCTGATGATGTCGACGTAGACGGCAGCCGGCAGGTTTTCGGACGCATCGGGCGGCATCGACTGCATCCGTTCGAACAGACGGTCGAGGGTCAGACCGGTCCAGTCGCGCACGAACACGTCACCGGTCAGCGATCGGCCGGCGCCGCCCGTCAGATCGGCGCCGTGGCACTGAAGACAGCTCGTTTCGTACTGTGTCCGGCCGCGCTCCGCCTGTCCGGTCGAGTACACGCCGTCCTTGACGGTGCGTTCCTCGTCCTGGGCCGCACTCAATCGCGCCCATCCCGAACCGGCCGCGGCCAGCGCCACCACCAGCGCCCCCACCAGACTCCGCCTCATCATGGCTCCTTACTCCGCGCAGCCCCTTCACGCGTCACGGCGGCCGCCTGCGCCGTACTCGGCACGAAACGCGCGGACACGTGATATTTTCACTCCACTGTACCCTAACCAGTGGCGTCCCGAGCCGATTGGATGATATAACCGATACTGCGTTTCGCGACATTGATACCAGGGTCGAAGGAGTCCATCCATGAGCATCCAGGCGCGAGCATTCGTCGTCCTCACGGTGCTGGCCGCACTATCTGTATTGGCCGTACCCGCCCACGCCAACAATGAGGCCGACGTCACCTATTATCGCGACGTGCTGCCGATCATCCAGAACAACTGCCAAAGTTGTCACCGGCCCGACGGTCAGAACCTCGGCGGCGTCATCGCGCCGATGTCCTTCATGAGCTACCAGGAGACCCGGCCGTGGGCCCGCGCGATCGCGCAGAAGGTGGAAGCCCGCGAGATGCCGCCCTGGTTCGCCTCTGCACCGACCGGTGTCTTCTCGAACGAACGGGGCCTCACCGACCCGGAAATCGCGACCCTGCTACGCTGGGTCGAAGCAGGTGCTCCGGCCGGTGATGCCGCCGACGCACCGCCCGCGCGGCAGTTCGTCGAGGGCGAGAGCGGCGGCTGGTCGCTCGGCACACCCGACTACGTGTTCGCGCTCGAGGAGCCGTACTTCATCGACGACGACATCTACGACCTCAACATCAGCTTCTTCAGGACCCTGACCGAGGCCGATCTGCCTGACGACGTCTGGGTTCGCGGCTGGGAGTTCAAGACCGGCGCCGGCACCGTGGCGCATCACATGTGCGGCTTCGTGCGCGGACCCGTCCCGGACGGCCCCTCGGCCGAAGAGGCGGTGGCCGCGGAAGGGGCGGCGGGCAGCGGGCAGTTGCTGACCTGCATTGCCGAAGGCGCCGAGGCGGTCATGTTGCCTGACGGCTACGGCTTGCGGCTCGAAGCGGGGTCGACCCTCACCTACAACATGCACTACCACAAACGGCCGGGACCGGACACCGGCGTGTGGACCCAGCCCGAGATCGCGTTCTATGTCGAGAGGCGGCCGGTGACGCACCGGGTGATCAACGACTCGATCGGGAACACCGGGTTCGAGATTCCGCCGAACCACCCGAACTACCGCATCGGCGCGTCACGCACGGTCGACAAGGACACCTACGTGCTGACCTACTGGCCGCACGCGCACCTGCGGGCCAAGGCGTCGCGCTATACCGCGGTCTATCCGGACGGCCGGGAAGAGTTGCTGCTCGATGTCCCGCGCTACGACCAGGGCTGGCAGGAAACCTACAAATACAAGGATCCGAAGCTGCTGCCGAAGGGCACGCGCATCGACGTGAGCTTCTGGTACGACACTCGCCGGAACGGGCCGCCCGCTTCGACTTCCGCGCCGACGAGTCGCCAGGTCACGGTCCCCGCACCGATGACGACATGGCGCTGGGCTTCATCGGGTACGCGATAGAGCTGGACGAGCCGGCCAACACGACCAACGACTGAGGAGCCCTTTCGACTCTGCGTCCGGAACCGACCATGCGCTTGCGCTGCGGGCGACCGCTTCCGTTTCGCCACGTTTACGGCTGATCTGTCTGGCGGTCGCGCTGTCCTGCGCTCGTGCCGGGGCGGGTCAGGAGAGCGGCGACGCCGATGGCTTGCTGCATACCGAGCTGTTTCTGACCGGCCGGAATCTCAGCGTGGCATACGAGCCGCTGGCCGCAGACACCCCGGCGCTCGCGACGCTGCTGGCCAGCGACCTGGGCGCCGTCGAAGTCGCGTATCGACTGGGCACCTCACGGGCAACCGTTCACTGCAGATAGGGCCGTTCGGGCCGGAGCCGGGCGACTCGCCGCCGTCTTCGCCGGACCATGAGTTCTGGTTGATGCGCACGGCGGACGGCTGGATCCTCGACGCTCGGCCGGCGCCGAGGACGACGCGAGGACACGCCGAGGACGCCGAGGACGCCGAGGACGCCGAGGACGCCGAGGAGCCGAGGAAACCGGCGGCGCCCGTGCGCATCCCTCTGACCCATGCTGCACGCAGCGAGTCGTCGCCGCTGACCGTGGCGCTCACGCCAGAGAGTGACGATGGCGGAGAGTTGAGCCTGATCTGGGGGTCGCACACCTGGACCGCCGCGTTCCAGTTTGTCGACCTTGCACGCCAGCCGCGCCCCGAACGCACCTCCAACGTGGGGCGGCCGAGCTCGCTCACGCGCGACTCGGACACCAGCGCCGCGCCCGGGCCGCCACGCTCGGCACCCGCAACGAGACCGCGCTCGTCACGCCCGACGGCGCCCACATACGGGTGCACTTCCACAGGGAGATCGGAACCGACAGCGACGACTTCGCCCGCATCGACACGATCGGCGACGGCGACGTGCTGGCGTTGACCCAAGCGGCCGTCATCCGGCTCCGCACGGAGACGCCGTTGCGCTTCGGGGACACCCAGGTGCCGACCGGGAATCTTGCCCCCGACTTCCCCGGGGCGTACGGTCTCTGGCTGAAGAAGACGGGATCGGCTGGCGGCTCGTCTTCAACAACGAACCTGACTCGTGGGGCACACAGCACGACCCGGCGTTCGACGTCGCAGAGATCGACCTGGCCCATACCGAGGGCGGCCCGCTCACGGAACGGCCGCTGGCCGTCAACCTCGTGGCGCGAGACGACGGCCACGCCGGACTGGTGATCCACTGGGGCGCCCACGCGTGGGCGACGGAGTTCACCTGGGGCCCCTGACGGCGCAGGCAGTTCGTCGATGCGGCGACGCCGGGACAAGGCGCCCAGAAAGTGAGCAGGTGATGACATATCGTGCAGCTCGGGTCGCGGCCTGCCTGTGGCTCGCCGCGGCCGGCGCCACCTGCGGAGGCGGCTCTACCGGTGCACCGGAGGCGGTGACCACGCCGGCCACGGCCGGGGACCCGGGCGACGCAACCGCCTTTCAGTTTGACGCCACCTGGCCGAAACCTCTGCCGGACAACTGGACGCTGGGGAACGTGGTCGGCGTCGCGGTCGACGCCAGGGACGACATCTGGATCATCCACCGTCCCGGCAGTCTGACCGCCGAGGAGGCGGGCGCCGACGCATCCCCGCCGCTGGCCGAGTGCTGCAGGCCGGCGCCGCCGGTGATCGAGTTCAACCAGGACGGCGACGTCCTGCAGGCCTGGGGCGGTCCCGGCGAGGGCTACGAATGGCCGCAAGCCGAACACGGGATCTTCATCGACCATCTCGACAACGTGTGGATCGGCGGCAGCGGCGGGACCGACGCCCAGATTCTCAAGTTCACGCAGGCGGGCGATTTCCTGCTGCAGATTGGCCGCCAGGGGCAGGGCCAGGGCAGCAACGATCTCGAGAATTTCGGACAACCGGCCGAGATCGATGTCGACCCGGAAACGAACGAGGTGTTCATCGCCGATGGCTACGGCAACCGCCGGGTCGCGGTGTTCGACGGCGGGACCGGCGAGTACAAACGTCATTGGGGCGCGTATGGCAACCAGCCGACGGACGACCCGTACACCTACGATCCCAATGCCCCGCTAGCGCAGCAGTTCGGACGCCCCGTCCATTGCGCCACCCTCTCCAACGACGGGTTCGTCTATGTGTGCGACCGC